CAAACGGCTGCGTAATGACCTTTCCGCTTGCAGCGGCTGCATATGGCGTCCCGTGCCGGGCAGTTCGCACGGGGGTGAGCGGTGCGGCCGCAGTAACGGCAGGGGCTGTCGCCGTCGTGCTTGTCGCGGGCCGCGTGCTTGCCAGTGCGTGTGTTCTTGCGCTGTAGGTTTTTCCCGGAGCGTTGTCGACCCTCGGAGTCGTGCTTGCGTGTCTCGGCGACCACGTGGCCGGGAACAGACTCTGCGAAGAGCGTGTCACGTGCACGTCCGGCGTCCTCGTGGACACGAGCCTGGAGGCGGGCTTCGTCCAGCGATAGCTTGGGACTTCGGCAGAGTTTGTCGACGAGCGCCTTGTCGCGAAGCCCCACGACGAAGCGGTCCCTTACGAGTCGGTCTTCAACTGCGGTCGACGCATAACCACATTTCTTGACGAGCGACCGGAGCCCCGTGAAAAATGCGTCCACGCTTTCGCCGGGTTCTTGGATGCGACGATGAAACACGACGCTTGCGTATACCTCGTTGGTAGGATGCACGAAGTGGCGTGTGAAGGCTTCTTTGACGGCGTCGAAGGACAGTAGCGCTTCCGAAGACAGGCCGAATGTCTCAAGTACGCGCCGAGCCTCGTGGGAGCCCATGAGGTAGAGAAGAGTCCGTACCTGGACCTCGTCGGCGGCGTGGTGTAGTCCCGAAGCGAAGCGGAAGTCTTCGAAGACTGTAATCCATTGTTCCCAAGTGCTGGGGTTCGCGAAGTCGAACGGAGGCGGCGACGGGAGGGACGTGTGGGGACTGTCGAGCGGCTGTCCGCTAAGCCTTGTCTCCTGCTGCGTAGCTGGCGTAGCCATGCCGGCCGTGTCGAGCGAGCGAGCCGAGGCGAGGCGAGCGAGCGGGCGGGCGAGCGAGCGTTACGCCGCTGCTGTCGTGACCGCTTCTGACACCATGTCGCGGAGTTGAGTGACACGCAGACGCAACGGATTCCAGTCGGCAAGTGAAGTGCTTTATTCGAGCCGCCGATTATATAGCCTCGCAACGGAGGAGCGACAGAGTGAGGGGGCGCCACTTGCGACCTCTACACCCCTATTAAAGAAAGGACTAAGGGAGAAAAAAAGGGGAAAGGGTTGGCGTAATCATTTTGGAGGAACTACTGTTTTTTTTCCATTTCTGTTTTTGATTTGCTGTCTGCCAATCCATTTCATCTAGGTCAGTTTCTGGAGCAGAAAGGGTGATAGCATCAGCTGTCACCTCTGCATCCTGAGCCTTCTTGGCAAGCTTGCAAGGAGCCTGAGAGCAATCAGACGACCGTGGGGGGAAATCCCGGCCTCTGCCTTGCCCTGCTAAGGGGGCGGTCGACGTACTAGGCCGACCCCCTGCCTTGTTTGTTTCGTCCACTGCACTTGAAACGTGCTGCTTCCTTGGCGAAGTCCTCCCCACAGATGCGGAGCGAGGGGCTCGCTCTCCTGCCTGAGGGGACGGTGCAGGAGGAAGGAACGATGGAGTCGCCTCCATCACCTCAGTGGCACCTGGGTCTTTTGTACCACAGGGTGTGTCAGCTGCTTTTGCAGCTGAAAGTGAATGCCCAGGCAGATAAATCTTCAGCCTGGGTGTAGGGGACTGCAGCGGTTTCCTATTTTCTGGAAAAGACACCTGAGTCGCCACTGACGCCTTGGACGGTGCAGGTCCCCTGCTGCACACCGTCTCGGCAAAAGAGCCTCTCTGAAAAGCAGAGAGACGACGCTTCGCATCCTGATAACTAATGTTCTCCTTCACTTTGGGTGCAAGAATTTTTTTGTTCTTTCTTGAATTGGGCACAAGCCCTTGAATATCCAGGGTGGTCACCATAACAGTTGTGACACTTGTAGTCTGCTCTGCAAGCATCAGCAGGGTGGTCTTTGCCAATGCGTCTGGCACAGGTATCACGACCATGGCAAGCGCGCAAGCTATCGCTAGCAACGGAAGCAGCGGAGAAGATTTGGGATGTATGTTTGCACTCTGCAATTGATGTAGCCTGCTTTCACTGAAGGTGGCAGCATACTTCTTTTGAAGGTTAGCATTATGTGTCTAATGGGTCGTTCCTCAGCATCCCGTCGGATTTTAATTCGTTTGGCGGCGACGACACCTTGAGCCTGCAGGCCCTCCACGATTTCTTCTTCGGAGCTGTCCGCCAGATTATCTTCCGATATCACACCGCGTATGGTGTTGAGTGTGTGGTGAGGGGAAACGGTCACCTTGAGGTCATGGATAGCTTGAATATACAACAGAGCTGTGGCCTGGAGTTTTTGTAGTACCTCCACAAGGTCACCTGAAAATAGCTTCTTAGCTTCATATTTCGTTTCTTGTGTGCTTTGGAGAACCTTAGCAACAATGAAGGGAGACACCTTGGACAGTGGTTTTGCGGTGTCCTCGGAGTGCAGTACGAAAAATTTGGTAAAATAGTCGTTAGAATTGCAGTTGTCTTTGTTCAGGAACGTCGGAAGGGCTTCGGTGCGGACTCTTTTAGGAGGCCGATCAGGTTGTTTTAGCTTGGAACCCATAATAGGGGAAAGGTGTTCAGAAACTGTGGTGCAGCGCCCACCACCGAGCCCAACAAGGGGGTAGGTAGCACCCCATAACAAATATGGCTTTGCTGGGTATGCTACACTACCAGTGCTACTTAGTAACTATTACCAAGAGTGGGTCTGGATAAGGAAATCTGTTACCACCCAAGGTTAGCCCATGCCGCCAAAGGAGGTGAAATAGGAGTATGAGAAGTGAGAGAAAAAAGGAAAAATAAAAGCGAAAGATCAATGGGGATAGGACTGACTGAATCATCCTGGTCGGGCCAAGCCAGGACACCCGTCTACAGGTAGCGGAGGCCGAAGTGGTGTTTTGCCTCACCCGGGGGGCCCCGAAGGGTCCAAACCTACCCCGGGTTCGGCTCAACCACCAGGATGCCCTTTTCCCCGGACACGGGAAAGCCACTCATAGCCAGACGTGGGCGGGCGAACCCGCATGGCTCGGGGTCCGTGAAGACGCCACTCTCCAAACACCTGCTTTCACATGGTGCCCCCTGCGGGGGATGTCAGAAGCGTGGTCGCGTGGTGTCACGGACGACGCATTAGTCGTTGCCAATCTCGGAATGCGTTCTGCCAGACCTAGTTTGGCGTGTGTTGCGCCCTGCGTGGCTGCTGCGGATTTCTGTTTCTGCAGTAAATGCGAAGAGTCCTACCTGTATATGTATATCGGCAACAAGCGATTTCTTCAAAGAAGCCCAGAATTTTTTCTGATGCGTTTAGTGTTAGGTTCTACAAATGACAGCTTGTGCTACATCTTGTTGAATCTTCACGGTCACCTTCCTTCTCGTTTTTGTGTTTGAGTGCTGCTTCTGCCGTGGCCGTGTTGACATTAATCTCGGATTACACCTTTCAAGTCCCGTCTCGTCAACGTAAGTGCGCTGCAACCTGCTTCGCCACAATTAATCGTTTTTTTAAAGGTACCTTCCAGATTACCTCTAGAATTAGGCCGTGTCTATCTCCTGGCAGCCGGGAGAATAATTTCACCGAAATTCTAAAAGCATGTCACAACTGCAGGTAGAATACTGATTTTATTATTCTCTCTGCGTTTCGTGATAACGCGTTGCGCGGCCACCTTCTCATGGACACACGTTTCGTCGACATTAACGTTTCGTCGACATTCGTTAAGCGAATGTCGATAATCCTGCTATATGGGAATTAACACACAAAACCAAGTTCTTTTGACCGTTTGACGATTTCCTTTTCCAAAGTCTAACAGGTCGTAGGGCATCTAGAAAAGAGAACTTCGTCCGATTTGCCCTCTCTCCGATCATTCACAGTGCTACATGCGACGAGCGGCGCCATGTTTTCCGAGGGAGGATAAAAATCCATAAGGTTACACCACTCCGGACTCCGATTTTTGGTATTTCAAAAGGAAGGGCATTAGTGCGTTCGCAATCGCATTAAAAACTTGTTTTACGATTGCCGTTATTAAATCTTATAAAAATGTCGCCTACAAAGCTTCTAATTTTCATGACTTTTGACGTCACAAATCGAAAGAAGCGAGGAGGTGAGGTGTGGGAGAGTCAAATTTAAAGTCAAATTTGGGAGTTTTTACGTGCCAAACCAACGACGGGCATCTGCACGCCCCAGCGGAGGACTGAGGATTAATTTGGACCACCTGGGGATCTTTTGACGTGCAACCGCAAGCTCGGTTACAGGGCGTCTTTTCCGCAATAAGCCTCCGTCAGATTGCGGGCCGGGATTCGAACCCGCCACATGGGGAGAGATTCGGGAGAGAAAAACGCTAAAAATAAAAAGGCGCGCGCGCGCGTGGGAAATGTTTTTTTTTTTTTTTTTTTTTTTTTTTGCGTGTCTATGATTGCAATTTGCATCGTTTTAGACAAAAAAAGAAAAAAAAAGAAATAAGACCTTTGGGGTGTCAGTGCCCCTTCAATTCTCGAAAAGTAATTAACGTACCTGTTACACACAATTTTTTACACAGTCCTTATTGTTTATCTTCGTTTTTGTTTTATTGCACTTTGAATACTTCTGTAAAAGCTTAAGAGTTCAGGTATGCAAAGCATAAAGGCTATGCGTAAAGCAAGTCGTCGCGGTGACGTGAGGACGACGCCGAGTTCTGATTGGTTTTAATGGAAGGATAGCTGGTAGCCTCCAATGCTGAATGTCTCATAGTCTACCCAGTATTTTTTTGTTTTTTGTTACTACGTGTTGTGACATCATCCCAACTCCTCCTGTGCAAGATGGAGACGAACTTGCGCTTCCCCGCTTTGAAATTGAGTGTGTCAGCGTTCGGCGAGGAACTCGGATCCAATCACGCACCTCGTACAGAAGAAATGGCGACCGCCAATGTTCCTCGATGGACTTTTGAAAAAGGAATAATAAATGTGGAGCGTGCAATCGGCATTTGCTCGGTCCGCGCTCGACGCTCTATCCAGGCTTCATCCTAGACTCGGACGCTAGAGGGCTAAATAAGAGCTGGCTGTAGACATGCTATGCGTTTAAAAAAAGACGGTCACTAATGCCTTTCTTCATGCGCGGTTGCCGAAAGACGCACAGATGGAAACTCACATCTCCGACGAAGTGTATGCAGCACATCAGGAGCGATGCCAGAACAGGGGGCACCCCGGCCAGCAGGAATGCCAGGGAATAGTTGCCAATGCTGTCGTACAGCATCCCTGAAAATCCCCGTGAGGCAAAACGGCATACTTGGGTACTGATAGGATATGAGGTGAGCATCGTCCCGGCGTGCGGTCGTGTACCACTACTGCGTAGTGCAGGCTAGCGGTTGTACTGCACTGAATAAATTTTTCATCTACAGCGAGTGACTCGTCGCAACTTTGAAATGGCTGACCAACTACACGCTGTATAAATATCCACACAACCCCAATTAATATTATTATAAGATATGAGCATATAGTCGGTCCTTTAATGAGATCGTGAAATTAGTCGCTCTCGTAATCGCAAACTGTGGCCTGTCTGGCTGGTATAGCACAAATGAAATAATCCTGTTATGACAAACTCATTGAAAAAAAATTTGGAGCAACGCGCACAAACACACACACAGCGCGAATAGAAACACTATTTTACAACAATCGCCTGTACTGGCTAGGTTCCGTAGCAGATCCCGTGTTTCTTCGCTACATTTTGCGGACAATGTGACATCACTGTCACCTGACCATGTCACATGACGTAACAATGTTCATATTACATTTAATGGAGAAATTTATCTGTTAAAATTAAATAGAGAAGTTTATCGCCACATTCGGCGGGAAAATTCATTCGCTATATTTAGTGGAGACATTTCTCTTAAATTTAGTAAGAAATGTCTATCGGCAGATTTAGCGGGAACATTTCTCCTCTAAAATTAGTCTGGATATTTTTCCGCTAAATTTAGCGTAAATTTAATGTCACGTGACATCGCAGTGTCACGTCGTCACGCAACCTCACAATAGAGAGTTCTAGGATAGCATAAAGACCCTTGCGTCGCACTGCGTACAACGCACGCAAGCTGTCGATGTAATGTTACGGAGCGCGTTGGACACATACTTTTAGTATAGCGGAAGGCAAAAGCATAGGATGGATGAATGGATGGATGAATCCAGCTGAGCCCTTTGGACCGGGCGGTAGCTCACGCCGCCAAGCCATTTTGTTTTACCATTTGAGATCAGAATATTTAAATGTGAAAACTATATTCACTCCGCACTAAAAAGAAGGTGAGGCTATAAAACTCCCCTGCCATTAGTTAACAAGAAAATACCTAGTTTTTTCTCGCTTTCTGCCACCATTCACTTAATCTTTGCTTGGTAATCTCTACTCTCTTGAAATCCACTTTTCCCTCTAAACCCACTGACTTTATTAAATCTATGTTGTCTTCGGTAGGCATAGGGTGAAGCCCTTTACAGTAGTAGAGTATGAAGTGCTCAGCCGTCTCGTCCTCCTCTCCACAAGCAGCGCACACTGTATCCATTTCCTGGTACTTCGCTTTGTATGTTCTGGTTCGCAAAACCCCTGTCCTTGCCTCAAACAAAACAAAACCCCTGTCCTTGCCCTAGAATTGTCATAAATGCTTTCTTTGGAAATAACTGTTTTGTTTAATCCGTAGCTTTCCAGAGCCGTCTTTGTCTGCATTCCCTCTAGCCACCGATCTCTTTCTGTGGCCTTAACTTTCTTCTTAACTAAACCTGTTCTTCCGTAGCTCCACTATAGCCTGAAAACTTTCCTCTTAATTTCCTAGTGCACTGTCTCCACTTTATGTCTATACTTCTCATGTATAAATAGCTAAAAATTTTTCGTGCCCATTGCTCCGCATCCATTTGCCTCAACCGATCCTCAAATTCTATCTTGCTCACAGCTTCCCTGCCCCCAAATGACGCCCATCCCATGTCTCTTTGTACTCCCTGGTTTGGCGTTTTGAAATGTGCCGCCAAAGCCAGCCTACCTACTCCGTGCTGTTTTGTTTCTAGTCTTGCATGCACATCGGATTTCATGCATGGCACCGCGTTTCCAAAAGTCAAGCCAGGCTCCATGACCCCTTTCCAAATCTCTCTCACCACTTCATACCTGTTGTAATTCCAAAGTGCCCTTTTTTCATTACAGCTGCATTTCTGTTTCCCTTACCTATTATATACTTTTCATGCTCACTAAGCTATTCTGCACCATCACATATCCATACTCCTAGATACTTGTATTTACTAGCTCTCTCAACTGTAATATTCTGTAGCTTCAGCCTCTCAACTTCATCCTCGTTAAAAATCATGACTGCTGATTTTTCGCTACTGAATTCTAAACCTAATTCCTCTCCTTCCCTACCACAGATGCTCATTAATTCCTGCAACTCTGTCCTGTTGTTAGACATTACTACGATATCCGCATACATCAATCCCGGTAAGGATTGTTGAATGTTTTGGCCTAGCTTACTGTAAGAAAGGTCGAATCCTCTTCTCCAGTCTATCCTCCAATCCTCTCAGATACAACATAAACAGCAAAGGCGATAACGGGCACCCCTGCCTAAGGCCTCGTCTTATCTCTATTTTCCCTGTCGCCTTTCCTTCCCATGTTATAATCACCTTGTTATCCTTGTAAATGTTCCTTAATAGTGCTGTTAGTCCTTCATCTAGTTTTAAGCTCTCCATTATGTCCCACAGGTTCCTTTGGTTCACATTGTCATAGGCACCCTTGATATCCAGAAATGCCAGCCAGAGCTGTCTGTTTTTTTTTTGCGCTATTTCTATACACTGTGTTAGAGAAAATAAATTGTCCTCCAACCTTCTTTGTTTCCAAAACCCGTTCTGTAACTCACCCGGTATGCCCTCGCAGTCTACCCATTCCTCCAGTCTGTTCTTTACAATCTGCATTACCAACCTGTAAATAACTGGTGTCACGGTTATGGGACGATAACTCCTAATATCAGACTTATCTTCCTTTCCCTTATATATCATGCTCATCTTACTAAGCCTCCACTCATCTGGAATATTTCCTTTTGTTATCATAGTGCTCACTACCTCTCTTAGTTTTGCCTTAGATTTAGGACCCAAATTCTTCACCAGCTTGATTGGGATACCATCTGTGTCTGTCGAGGAGCCACTAGGGACTCTTCGTTCCGCCTTTTCAAGTTCTCTTTGTCCAAAATCCACGATGTCACAAGCTGTACTGCTATTTCCTTCGGTTCTCCTATCTTCCACATGTACCCGTACCCGAACTTTCTCCTCCATCACTGCTCCTACATGTCGTATCGCATCATCTCTCTCATTGATCTCCCTGATGCGAGAGTATGAACCTCTGTCTAGCTTGCGTCGTTTCACCGAATGAGTTCAAGTGCACCCAAAACTTCTTGGTTGCGTTTCTATCTTTCTTGCTTACATTACTATTCCATTCCTCCCCCTTTCTCAGAATTTTCGCATTGATCAAACTGGATGCCTCTCGGCGACATGTTATGAAAGAGTCCCATTTTCTTTTTACTTCCGTTTCTGACTCCCCTCTATGCTTGGAATGCCTGTGTTCTCTAAAGGCTTCCTGAAGTTTTTGTATCGCTTGCTTCACTTCTTTGTCCCACCAGCTCACGTAAAGACTTGCAGTGCCATCTGGATATGTTCCGGCGAACTGCCTCAAACCATTCAATGGGGGTATTCGGTCAAACCAATTTAACACCGCGAATCTCCTCGCTTTGCTACGAAGTGCGTGAAACCCTTTCCAGTTGCTTGTTGTGAACGAATCTTGTCTTTTTTTTTACGACTTTGTGACCAGCAGTCCGATCTATGGTCCGCTCTAGTGTGTTGTGGAATCCCTTCTATCTTATGTTGGCCTCATCATTTGCTTGGAAGTATGCAAGCAGTAGGTCGCACCGCTCGCGTACCGACCGCACGGTAAGCACCTTTTTGGTTTCAACGGCGTCACCAACGTTTTTGGCTATCGACACCCATCTTTGTGGGCGCTTGAAAAGGTTCGGCGCGTTGATTTCTTTGAGGCGGTTGTGGGTCGCCTGTCAATACCGCCCGATCAGGCCGAGTTCCACTTGGCCACTCGGCACCGGCTCTTTTGTCTGTCTCCAGCTCCGAACTCCGCGTGTCCTCGCCCGCCACGAGCCTCGCACTTTTTCCCTCCTTCTTCTTTCTCTTTCTTCCGCAAGGTTGAGGTCATCTTCAACGGTTAAGCGAACCCGTACAACGCGCGTAGCACTTCCTGTGGTTTGCCTCACCGCCGCCATTTTTCAAAGTGGAGTAGTCTCACGCTCTCCCGTGCGCGACGAAAGCAACGAGAATGGCACGCAGGGGACCGCTACGTACGTTCGCAAAAATCGATAGCGAGCGTACGTACGGATAGCTAGCTGCAGTGCGTACGTATGGCTCATGCGCAGTGTGGAGGACGAAGCGATAACGCTAACGTAGGGGGCTTGCGTTTGCTCCTATACGTAATACTAAACCTCTCTAATAGGGAGTTTTCGTAGACCGTGCTGCCCCCTCCGCTAAGCGTTCCGCAATGAAGAAGTTGCTACTGCGCCTGCGCGCCGATAGCCTTGACTGTGGAGTGTCCGCTATCGTAGCGTGTTGCCGAGGGCCTTGCGGGACGACGAAAACGATCTACGAAAACTCCCTAATGTCTCATGAACGCCGTCCGCTAAAATAAACGGTACGCAGGTCTGCTAAATAAGAGGTTTCGTAGACCGCGTTTCCCCCTCCGCTAAGTCCTCCGCAACGAAGTTGCTACTGTGCCTGCGCGCCGATGGCCCTGACAGTAGAGTTCCGGGTATCGTAGCGGGTTGCGGAGAGCGTTGCGGCATGGCGGAAACCGTCTACGAAAACTCCCTAATAATGGCAATGTAACAGTGTGCTACCATGTTGGCTATACAATAAAAGTGGTCCCGAAGTGCAACAAATGACGTCACAAAAGCCGGAGTGTCATTCTGTCGGATGTCGCGATCGTGGCGATTTCGAAATGCTGGCGAAAAGCACGATCGAACGTGAGTGCCGCTGCCGTTGCGGCTTCTCAACCGCTGGCTGCCGTACCTTTCGTGGATTGTCAAGCTCGAGAGCGACCTGCAGCAGAACAGGTGTTTGCCACATGCACAACTGCTTCTGTGGCGCCTCCAGGATCGCGGCCAGCAACAGCGTGGGACTTCTATGATGTCATCAGGCGGAAATCGAGGGACCACTTTTTTGGACGTGGTAAACACACCAAT